CGGCCTCAATTCCCCGGTCTGCTGAAATGTTCAGCTACCTCCAGTCAATACCACAACAAACTCCATCTCCACTCTGAAGAATCTTTCACTTGGCACACTGAAGTCAACCTCAGTCATAGGTCCCTCTCTGCGGACGAGACAAAAGTCCTGTTGCTGGGCATGAACTATGCCCTAACCCCCAGCACTTACCCGTTGAAGAGGTCATCCAGTGCACCAAACCAGCCATTTGCCTTCTTCATAAGTCTACAGCCAACGAGATCCGCCTGCAAATCAACCAAGCCCTCCTGAAACACAAGCCTGCCAAGCCCAATCTCTCAAGACAAGACCGGTCAGCCATCACATCCCTACACCAAGACAAGACCATCCACATCCTCCAGGCAGACAAGGGGAATGCCACCGTGGTCATGGACAAGACTGAGTATGACGACAAGAAGGTAGCAGAAATTCTTGACTCCGGCTGCTACTTTACTCTCAAGGAAGATTCTATCCCCGCTATTGAGAGAAAGCTACAGCAAAAGCTCCTCTCCCTTCAGCACTCCAGCGGTATCTCCCAGTCCTTGTACAGACAACTCTGGCCTGCCAATTCCAAATGCCCAAGCTTCTTTGGGCAACCCAAGATCCACAAGGCAGACACCCCACAACACCCCATCGTCACACCAAGAGAGGGTCAAACTTAAAACACAGCCAGATATCTTTCCAAGATACTGCAACCCTGTGGTTATCAACATTGAACGCCACATCCAAAATTCAGACCAGTTTACCAGCTTCATTCAAGGCCTCATGTTTCAGCTAGACGACATCATGGTCGCTTTTGACGTCATCTTCCTCTTCACAAATGTTCCCTCCTCCGAGGCCGCCACCATTTCCAGGCTTAATCTTGTAGATGACCTAGAAGGATTCTTGGTTTGTTAACAAATTTAAGAAAGAAGTTCATGGCAACTGTATACCTGCTGTTATTGTGACATCAAACTGACAGACGTTGGTATTGCCTGCCTGGTCTCGAAAAGTGTAAGTAACTGTAGTTGTGCCGACAGTGAAGGTGGATCCTGGGGTGTGAGTGGATGACACAGTGGGTGTCTGACCCGAATTATCAGTGGCAGTCGGTGGTGTCCAGTTGATAATTCCACCTGGAACACCAAGAGATACCTCCCGGTTGATGTTAGATGGGCATGTCTGGATTGTAGGTGGAGTGCTATCCTCTGTAGCAAAGAAACAAACACACAATCATTTGTACTTGGAACACCAAAAGACACCTTCTGGCTGATGTCATACAGATGGACAGAACTGGATGGTAGGTAGAGTGCCGTCCACTGAGGCCAGGCAATAATGATTAAATAAAACTAACTTATGCAAAGATGGTAGTATATGATTAAGTCATTTGGGTTAATAGAGGAGCAAGACGATTTGGTAATTCCAAGCAGCTTTAAGAGCTTCAGAAATATTGTGGTAAGATTGTGAAGTCCAGTTTTATGAATGAAGAAAATTTTTTTCAATGAGGTTGTTGATTGGCCAAATGATCTAAATGAACATCATTAAAAACTGGATACTCAAATGAAAAAAAGCAATCATTTCGTCACCGTTTTGACGAAGAGACGAAAGTCTTACCAGAGAGTAAAAATAGTTAAGATAAATCACATTTGAATTAGGCCTCTTTTTCAAAAAATTAATTCCCCCCAAATATAGCATTTCTTTGACTCATCCAATGCTAGTTCATGACAAAGGGGATTTTAAATGACACCAGACTACAAAATAATATTTATAGAAATCATTTAAAAATGTGGCTTTTGTCTCTGTGAAAATGGCACACACATACAGTACATGCTTTGGCCATAGTGCATGCCAGGTGCAAAATCGTTACATTTATATACATTTTGGGAAACAACAAACCAAGTTTTTTCCATGGTTTTGCCCGAAGTGCTAGCACTTTACATGTTCTTAGGGCAGAAATCTTTCTCTTCTTACGAAAATGACAAATGAGGTTAAGTTGAATTTTTCCCTGAAGAGATCATTATGATTTGACTGATTTAAGTAGACCTAATTGATTTTGTGAAAAAAGGGATATATATTTAAAACACCATGATTTTGGGCCAATTAGTCTCTTGGTGGAAACGATGACGGTTTCTAGCACAGCATAATTTTGTTAATGAAACTTCCATAATATGCCACTTTAAATAAGCCACATAATGAAGAGGAATGTTGCTTATGAAGAACCACGGGCATACAGGGTGCATATTGCATTTATAATCCCTTTGAGGAGCTTTATTCAAATCTTCTAATCTATTCTTCAACTATTTTAGACTTTTATGATGTTGATTATCTGTAAAAATTTGTCTTGTGACTTCCAAAATAAGATTTTTAGTTGTAACTTTAACAATTTTCTTTACTTGCTCAGATTGAAAGACCTAAAACATAATGATGCTACGCTGTGTATGAGAGCCCAATTTTCAGAAATTTGTATCCTTGTGGAGACATATCATTGTTCTCCAGTACTAATTCAGTCGCGTATGAAACAATATTTTCAAAATGCTCCCATTCCAACATAAATCACTCTCCTTGACTGAAATTCGACCTAATGCCCCTTATATGAAACACTTCAATTTGCGATGATTCTTACACATTAAAAATTTCTCCTTTTGAGCGATTTCCAAATATCAGTTTCATGAAAACTAGGTGCTAATCTAGGTGCTTCATGAAGCACCTGGATTAATAGCTAACAATATCTATCCACTGCTTGGTAAACAGTTCCTGTCTTTTTCAAAATAAAACAGGGCAAAATAAAATATATAACTGCACACTGCACCATTTTTTTATTTGTACACCAACAACACGATATAACCATTCAATCTGTTGTTATGATTGAAATCGCAATATACGTGTACCTTTAAGACTGAGAAGCTTAATTTCATCTTTAAAAAGCACTACTGAATCTTTACAGAATTGGACTTGCCTCTTTGTTGCACAACGACATTGAACCGACACTCAGCACTGTTTCTGGCTGAATCCCTGAAGGTGTACACTACCGTGGTCTGCCCAACCGGAAAACTCTGTCCGGAGGTGTGAGTCATTGTCACAGTCGGAGGTGTGCCGGAATTGTCAGTCGCCGTGACAGCCTGCCAGAAGACGTTTGCCGATACAACATTGAAATCCACCTGCATCAAAATGTCATTTGGGCAGCTTGTGATAACAGGATCCACCCCATCAACTGCCGTCCATCAGAAAAAAACAAGGGGGAAATTTAAAAACCTCTGTCACTTCATTTTCCAAGTTACAATACTCTCTGATTTTAAATGAGAACTGAAGCTACGTGTAGGCAGACTGCTAACAAACAACACACAAGACACAATTTAACAACTTATACCATGAAGTGCCTCAAAAATTATACTCGGACAAAGATGGGGAGAGAAACATATTTTACTTTTCTGCCGCAGCTTAACACTATGTTCATTTCTTACTTGAGCCTGCAATTTATAAGGAACTCCACATGAAAAAAACAGTACCTTAAACATGTTGGCAAGGAGCCAGATACCAAACACCGGGCAAAACTGGCTATACAGACACACAGGGCACAACAGAAATATGTAAAATGGACTACCACAGCCATTTAAGAGCCTATCGCTCATAACCCTTTGTGACCACACCAAGGGCAGAGGGTCACTGGATTCAGCTACAGACCACGACAAGGAATAATGACTGAAGAAGGAAAGAATCCAGCTAACATATTCAATTGAGACTTGTGTAAGATGCAATTCACCCACATGTAAAATGTGCACCTGGCCTCTAGTTAGTGCATATGTGTGGGTACTGTCTGATTGACAGGTACAAGAAATAGACGTGAACATGGAATAAGAGACAAAAAAGCATCAACAATTCAATATTGAGGGTATTTTGCCCTTCCCAGCTTATATTTATAGTACTGTATAACGCTGCTGTTTCTATCCTAGCAGAATCTTTTTTAATAGCTAGAACAGGCACAAGGAAATTTGCAGAGCACGAGTCCCTGTACATAAAACTGACAATAAATTTCTTCACCGAACAGCATTTTAAAAACATGTTTTTACTATTGATAGCTGTCATAGGAATTTATATTTTCATTCAGTTGTGTGAATGCAACTTTTGCGACACAACCAATATATCTGCATTGTACCAGCAGCCACCCATGCTCGGGAACAAAAACGTAACTCACCAACGGTAACGGTGAATGTGCACGACGCAGAATTGAGATTGGCATCGGTGGCCGTGTAGGTAAGAGTGTAAAAGCCGAACTGGTAGAAGGAGCCAGATGGCTGACCTAACGTGAGCGTCACGGTTGGTGTTACCCCAGAGTTGTCGCTTGCAGTCGCTGGGGACCAGGTCACTGTTCCTCCATTGTTGTTGCCTGTGGTGATAGTCTGCATGACATTGCCTGGACAAACAATTGTTGGGGGGAGATTGTCCTCTGCAAGGAAATGAACAATTGACAGGGTCACAGCTAAATTCATAAGATGGCCATTTTAAAATTGTGTCTCGTTGATCTACTTCATCAATTGAAAACTATGAAATGGGAAAAGGCCCGACTATGTTGCTATAAGTACAGATGTTGCTTCGCTTTGAAAAAATATTTCTCATCTGGTCAATATTAAAGGTGAAGTAACTTTTGACCATACTTTGGGAATAGATATCAGAACACATGAGCGCTATTTATGATTTGTCCCTATTACACCATCTCTGTTTCCACACACGTTAATTTTTTAGAAATTTTGTTACACAACTGGGGTGCTTTTGATTCAAGATTGCTGCCTACATGTAGTAAACAAGCCCAAATCCACTGACTAGATGTGGTATACCACTGTACACCACATCCCTTGGGTGTATGCAAAAATCATATTTAAATCGGAGGATTTCGGAGTGTTAGGGTTAAGATGAAGAAGTCGTACTCTTTCAAAAAACACAATCAATCATTACAGGATTGGACTTGCCTCTTTGTTGCACAACGACATTGAATCGACACTCAGCACTGTTTCTGGCTGAATCCATGAAGGTGTACACTACCGTGGTCTGCCCAACCAGAAAACTCTGTCCGGAGGTGTGAGTCATTGTCACAGTCGGAGGTGTGCCGGAATTGTCAGTCGCCGTGACGGCCTGCCAGAAGACGTTTGCCGATCCAACATTGAAATCCACCTCCATGAAAATGTCATTTGGGCAGCTCGTGATAACAGGATTCACTCCATCAACTGCCATCCATCAGAAAAAAACAAGGGGGAAATGTAACACAACTTTGTCACTTACTTTTCTGAAATCCCAATACTCTCTGATTAGAGTGTTAAGGAACATAAACTTTTATCCATAATTTAGAAATACCCATCAGAAGAGAGATGTTAATTTCTAATTTGCCTCAGCTACAATATCTGTGTTTTCACACATGTTCAGTTTTAGAAAAGTTTTACAGGGATCCCCTTGTTATTAATTCAAGATGGCTGATGCTAAGCCAGACTGGGACTTGACCACGCCAAGTGCTGTATCCAGTTTATTGGTACACCAAATTTGTTGGCATAATTGACATGTCACTACACACAGAAAAGTTATATTAAGCTCTGATTGTTAACACCTTGTCTTTAAAAACCATTTTAAAGAGCACTTCTGACATACCGGCACTTTGCTAAAACCCATAACTCTGGAACGATGATCTTAGAACATAAAATATGACTGAGTGCCGATCATGTAATGTAGAAAGTACTAGCTGGTGCACATATGTGGGCGATTAAGGACTGTGCCGAATATCCAAATATACGGATATTCGATCGAGTATCAAATATTTCAATATTAATTTCTGAATATGAATATTCGAATGCAAAATTCATGAAAATGAAGAGAGGATTTCCTTTGTTTTAAATGAGAAAAATTCCACTGTGGAGGCTTTTATCAAGCAGATTCAAATGAAAAGCAAATCTTACAGCAATTCAAAACGTAAATTATTCATTTAAAAATTTAAAAGGACAAGAAGTGTTCTTCATCTCTCAATCTTGATGAATGGGGCTGGAGATACATGTAGTCCTCGACGTGAGAAACTATTATAGTGATTACAGTATAATGTAAAAGTGTGTGTGTTATTGCAACTGATTTTGTGTATGGATTGTTCATCAACAATCTGTCGGTCGGGACGACCGAACATTCGGATATTCAATGGAATTGAAGGTCGAATATTCAAATAGTGAATTATTCAAATTGACTGAGCCCCAGGGTGATTAAACTGACGTGCATGCAAGATAACTGTGAACATAAAAAAGAGAAAGAAAAAGGTGTTTTGGTCTTCACTGTCGTATAAACATTTTGTACTAGTGGTGTTTCCATAAAAAGCAGAATCTTTTTCAATAGCTAGAATGGGCACAAGGAAAAATGGCCATAGATGAGTCCATTTACACAAAACTAACTAAGATAGAATTAGTTTTTTACACATTTCTACTGTTGATGGCCATTTTGGGGTTGTTTTACATGTACATGCAGTGATTGTGAGTTTACTGTTGTCATCAACAGCTGCCACCTCACTCAGATGTGCAACTCACCAACGGTAATGGAGAAGGTGCATGACGCAGAATTGGCACTGGCATCAGTGGCCGTGTAGGTAAGAGAGTGCAAGCCGAACTGGTAGAAGGAGCCAGGTGGCTGACCTACCGTGAGCGTCACGGTTGGTGCTACCCCAGAGTTGTCGGATGCAGTCGCTGGGGACCAGTTCACTATTCCTCCATTGCGGTTGCCTGTGGTGATAGTCTGCATTATGTCGCCCGGACAAGCAATCACTGGGGGGATGTTGTCCACTGCAACAACATGAAAAAAAAGTGAATGGGTCAGGAGCAAGAAGTTAATTTGACATACTGGCCATTTTGGACTGGTGCTCCCAAATCCATTTTTATCCATGAAACATAATGAAACGGAAAAGGGTCTGTTGCTGTAATGACGGGTATTTCAGCCTCACTATTTCTTAATTTGGACAATAAAGGTGCTAAAACTTTTTCTGTATAATTTGGAACTACTCATTGGAACACAGAGACGCTAATCTATAATGTGTTCCTTCTGCACCATCTTTATTCCTGCATGTTAAGTTTTCAAAAATATTTTTTACCAGAAATCGCCAAGCTGTTGATTCAGAATGGTCCACTTATGAATGAAGGCCAAGCCAGACTGGGGCTTGACAGCAAGGCTTCTGCAGAACAATTCTCAATGCTACACATGTTGAGTATGTCAGCGTCAGAATGTACTATGCATAAACCTCCCTGTCCTCCCCCCCGGCATCCCATAATTCTGCTAACTTCTGAAGCTACAGCAGCTGTAATACCAGAATATCTTCCAGTGCCATCACTGGTATGCTCATGAAAATATTGAAATAGCATGGTAAGGATTCAAAAGATAGGTAAATGGGACACAGAGGTGAATTTTACGTACCTGTGAACCAGCGTACCCGGAAGCCTTCATACTCGATATTCTTATCCGTCAAGAAGTAGAGAAAGGCGGTGTCAGAAAAGATGCTGAACGAGCCGGTTGGGGTTATCCGCCCATCAAAGAAGTACAAGTCTGGGGGATTGGACACTCCCCGCAATTCACTGATGACGGGTGTGACACCCCTCCCAATGTACAACTCATCCTTGGGTGACTCCACACCAAAAGGTGAGTCAAAGGAGAAGACAATTTCAGCAGCTCCAGGGATGTAGAGTAGGTACACAGCAATGAAGCGGGGATTGTATGGGTTGGGGTAATTTTGTGAGGCAAATGTACCCGTGGCACAAGATTCACCATAACAAGTGATGACTTGCTGATTATCTGTTCATGCCAAAAAATTGGTCATGGGAAAAGAAGAAAGATGTGTACCATGTCAGTGTTCTGCTTTCGCCTGCCATGTCACTATTTTAGATTTTGCCTACGAGTGGTTAGTGAGTGACAAGTGGCCCTCAGTTCAACAGCAAAAGAACAAGTCACAAAGGGTTGGACAAAAAAAAAATCTCACATATCTCTTTGAATGCTGTTGCATGCTAAATGGAAATACTTCTCTCTTCATTTTTTTTTAAACCTGGACTTTCTAAGCTGCTCACAAGAAATGACAGGCATGTTTGTAAACAAAAGGAAAAAACTCATGACACCAGGGGCCATTTTCATGAACATGTTTGCACAAAAAAGTACAGAAAGTCCATGCTATACAAAACAGCCCAGTCTGAACTGCATGTGATGTGTTCCAGGTGACAAAGGAGCAAGGGACGAGCTTGCCTTCCCCAGAAAAAAATGGACAAAAACAAGCAAAGAAAAGAAAAGTAATTTTTTCATAATTGTTTTAAAATGGAAAGGATGAAAATCACTAATTTGCTTTGGAAAACTGATCCCCCCTTATCATGGTTAATGGTTTATCAGGTTGTTGCTGATGAGTGATTTGCCCCCACTGCGGAAATTCTCTGCACCCTTACCTTGGAAAAGTGATTTGGTCCCCCCCTCCCCCACCTTGTCAATTTGCACAAAAAAAAAAAAATTATTTGCCTACTCGGCTGTGCCATAAAATTAAATCCAGAATGTTGACTTCTGCGTGTAAGTTTTTCTTTATCAGTAGGTGTTCCAAATCACTTTTCATGGTCCCCAATCATGACTTGCTTGGTCAGTCAATCCACCTGTCTGTAAGTTGACTGGTTAGTCTATCGGTTGACCATTGGTCCAACTGTTGCTGGGTGTGTCAGTCAATTGGTTGCTCAGTCACTGGGCTGATCAGTCAGATGATCATTAAAAATCATTATAATTGATTCAATTCAATTCAAATTGATTCTCCTCAATTCCTTATTGTTTGCATGGTTTGCATGTTCAGAACTTTTTTCAACATCAGTTCCCTAGAATTTCAGATTAATATACCAATATTGAGATTGGTTGATGAAGAGAAATTGACAAAAAAAATCCAGCAGAGCGGTTGTTACAATGAAAATAATAAAGTGCGACTTTTCAAGACTTTTTCTCCCAAAGTTGGCTGTGAGCAAGTGAATCTTGTCTTTTGCATACAAGGACTAAAAACAGTAACATGACCTGACTGATTAAATACTATAAAAATCCAGAATGTGGGGATCAAATGTCCCTGTTCAGTACATTTACTTGACCATGTACACCAACCTAAATTTTGATCGCAGTTGACGCCAACTCGGAAGGGCTGGCTACATTCACAAATGAAGTTGAGTTGGCCGGGGACATCTCTGGTGTGGCACGTTAAGCTCTGATCAGTGCACTGATTTACTGGACACACTGAAACATAAACAAACAAAAATTGCAATCACAATACCACTAAAGTTTTACAGTGTTATTTGTTCAGACAAATCTGTTGACAGCTGTGCATGTGACTCGGAAACCTAGCTCTGAGGCTCATTATATATAATGGGGAACTTCACCGTTTTCCTCTCGTCCTGTGGGCCCCAAGTGGGGTTACCAAATGTCTGATCTTCTTGGGTAATGGTAAGTGATGGTCATTAGCAGGCCTTGATCTTAGCACTAGACCAGCCGACAAAATTCTAGTAAAAACTCCTTCAGGTTGGTAAAAGGCATAAAAATAATCTTTAACTTGCCCAGTGGGCTAGTAAAAAAAAAGAAATACATGTTTCTACCTGTTCGAAACTGCCATTTGTCTTAATGTAAAGATAACTAAAAGAAGTGTTGTACACTCCAATTGTACATGATGTTTGTTATAAACCGTAACAGTGTGAATCCTCTGCTTTTAAATGTTGAAATTGACAGCAAGACTTCAGTTACGGTTAAAATGTTTATGAAGTTGAAACAAGCCAGTTGAAGTTATTTGTGCTAAAAAATGTCCGGTGGGAAAGTAAAAGTTCCTGCTGGCTAGTGAAAAAATAAGCTAACTTGCCTCGGGGCTAGTTAAAAATAATTTAAGGGTTCAGAACTGAGTCAATCATGAATGTACTACACAGTGACAGATCCAGATCACCTTCTGAACAATCCAATGCACATTCACCTGGGTTCAGACTGTCTACAGGAAGTGATAGCATTTCATACCAAAATTGTTCTTCTCTGAAACAAAATCAAAACCAAAATCTGTTCACATCTTCATACAGAGTCAGTTTAGAGGCAAATAACGGCCTGTTTGTTTTGCAAGGATTTGAATCTCGATCAGCGATCCCAAGGCTGGTTTCGCACCACCCATTGGGCGGGTTCTGGCATCAGTGAAGCAATGTCAGATACAAACTGGTCACCTTAATTCTCAGCATTTGTACAGGATGGACCCCAAGAGCTGCAAGGCAGTTTCTACAGTTCCAGATCCAGCACGCCATGCAGCCTAACTGCGCTGCTGCATGCATGGTTCCAGGTTTACTGCAACAGCATCTATATTAGATGTCACCAGCTGTTTAAAAAGCGAGGCAGTCAAAGTTGACTTATTTTACATCATTTAATTGCTTGTACAATTGTAACTTCATGGTGTGCTCAAGGCTTCTGGGGATCCTGCCTGACGACTGGTTGTTTCCGTCATTGCACTAAGCTGAAACTGGCCTGGGAATGAATGTCACATTCGACCATCACAGTTTTCATGTGTCAGTTTTCATGTCAGTTCACCCTAATTTTTCAACTTGTTCCTCCATCCCAAGTACTGAACTAGTCTGAGTAAGTTGGACCCTACATACCCCTTTCTTAATGTTTGAACATAATCTTTAGTTGTGCTTAAAAATAAAAGGCACTAGAAGGGCTGCATGGACGGAGCCTCTCACACACTGACAGAGGGCACAATTTAAAGGGAGAAAAGCAATCAATTTGTTTTCATACAAACCTTCAAATTGCACTTTTGTGTCTCAATTAACGTTATTTTCAACTTTTGTTTCACTGTTTCAAAAAGCATTTTGCCGCCTTTTTGGTTTTTATGTTAATGAGATTTCCATATTCATGAGCCAAACTGTGATGTCATTCAAGAAAGACAGCCTACATGCAAATCTTACCATTGGTTTGTACATAAAAAGTCTCACATTTTTGCTGCCCAGAGTAACTTTTCTCTTCTTTGCTGATTAATTGCTGTTTTGGTGCAAAGTAATAACTGTGTTTTTCTGAGAAATATTTTGAATAAGTAAATTCTGGTTTCACAAATTGAACGTGCAGTTGCAATGAATTTTTGTTGTACACAATTTTTCTGCATCTTTGTACTCTTCCTTGCTGTATAAAAACTCATTTACACTCCCATTTTGGTTAATTACCCATGCTGTTCTGGAGAACTGAGGGCGCTGTTGCTCTGAAATCATCAAGGGAAGACATGGTTCAGTGCATAGGTGTTTCTGTTCAAATTGTGAACCCAGAACTTACCTACTGAAAACATTTCTGAGAGAGAGATTAACATTTCTTGTTGCTTTGCACATGAACAACAATGAATCAGCAAAGAACAGAAAACTGAGTCCAGGAAAATCTACAAAAGTGCAGAACCTTTTGTGTACAAACCATTGTAACATTGAGGCTTCCTCCTGAGATGACGTCACAGTTTTGCTCATGAATATGGATATCTAATTAGCATAAAAGCAAAAAAGGCATTAAAATACCCTTTGCAATAATGAAACAGAAGTTGAAAATAACGTTAACTGAGGCAGAAAGGTGCATTTTGGAGGTTTGTAATAAAAAAATCTATTGCTGCCACCCTTTAATAGAAAACCCTATGCAATAAACTCTGTCTTCCCTGGATGACTTCGTAGCAACAGCACCCTCACATGGATAATTTTAAGTGACTAAAAAGTGCACTTTTCAGTGCATTCAACCAAATGAGAGTGTAAAAGAGTTTTCATATGTTGAAGAAGAGTACAAAGTTGCAGAAAAATTGTCTCTAACACAACGTCATATCAGCTACCATTTCAACTTTGGGGTTCCTCAAGGTTCACGTCTGGGCCCCGTGCTTTTAAGGGCTTCTCCAAGTTCACTTTTCAAGGTAATCAACAATTACTTGTACATGTACATGATCAGTGGTTATGGTCATGCTGATGAAACTCAGCTGCAAAGTTTTTCTCCTTTACTCAGCGAATAAAATTCATTCATGGGAGAATAATTGAAAAATGCCTGGTTTTGGTTCAAGCATGGACGCTGAAACACAAGCTGAAACTTAATGCTGGCAAAACAGAGGTCATTAAATGTTGGGTCTCAACAGCAACTACAGTAGATTAAATTAATCTTGATCATGTTAAAAGTGGTGTCTACAGTTTAGGGTCTGATTGAATTCTCAATTCTGGACACCCACGTCAATCATGTTTGCAAGAAGGTGAATTATACATGTAGTTTACATAATTTGTGTTGAATTTGAAAAATATCTGAATCAAGGAGCCACCGAGTCTTTGGTTCATTCACTGATTACATCTCCCCTGGACAATGTCAACTATGTAATGTATGGTACATGTATGTCTCAAGTTTAAGATCTTGCTTTGGTTTTCAAAGTGTTACAGAGCAAAGCACCAACTTTAATACTTGTCTGACTTGATTGTGAGATCCCGCTGTGCTTACGGCTTGCATAGTCAGAATACTTTGAATTGTCAAGTTGCTTGATCGTACTATGAACTCAATGATTGACGTTGTGGAACTCTTTGCTACACACCAGTGAAAGGGTATTACAAATGAAAATAACTTTAACTGCACAATCAAGATGTATCTTTTTAATAAATTTTATAATTAACTAGGCTTTATTTACATGTCTTTGTGATCATTTAATTGCTCTTGTAATGTGGTGTGCATTTTATGTTTTGTTTGATCTACATGTAGCTTGGCCAACAGGGCCAACATTGTTTCAGTTCAACAAACACACGGTAGGACTGTGTCTGTGTTTGCCTGCGGGCCAACTTACATCAAACACAATCTGGTCTATTGCATGCAATAATGCATGTACTGTGTGCTATGTACACGTACACTGTACATGCATCGTTCTGGCGATGACGCCATCCAATCAGCCTCGGAGCGCGAACAGCGAAAGGGAATTTTTTGTGGGTGGGAAAACGCAGGATCTTTTTATTCATTTTGCAGTCACAATTAATGGGATAAACATTAAATTTATGTTTTGAAATGGTTATAGTTATTTTGAAATACTTCACGCAAACTAAATGTTTTCTATTTCTGTAACCCTTTAATCATGAACCTGTCATGTCTGCCCTCAGTCAGGTATCCCTTTCACTATCAGCATGATCATGGTACATAGGCCTATCATCGATCATGCCCCCAGAACTGTGGGGTCCGACGTCCGCTCCACTGGGAGTGGACGTCCGACCCCACAGTTCTGGGGATAGGCCAAGGCCTATCAGTGAGTGCACACTCTGCAGTCCTATACTCTAGGGTCCAAGTTGTTGGGACAAATAAATCATCCCTGTCAAGGTTACCCTGAGCTGCTGATCTAACAAATTCCCCTCTTCAAAATGTGGCAGTCGAGATTCGCGAGAAGCAAATCTGCATGTCATCATGAGAATTATGAGAGAGGCCCACCGACAGACCAAGGCCTGGCTAGGTCATCGTATTCTTTCATACCTCAGGTTGGCATTAGTACTAGTATGAGCATGGGTCGAAAAAGAGGAACATGAACGCACTACTGCACTAGCAGCGGTGATGCACGAAGCATGAGGCGCCTTCTACTGCAAGCCACAAGCCAGTCTACGTACCTTTCCCTGGATATTTCGGGAAATCAAAACCCTTAAAATACAGACGTACCTCTTAACATTCCCTACCTTCAAGCTCTTAATTACCAAGAACTGTAATCGTGTTGTATCTTGAGTAGGCCTAACTTCACGGAGGTAGCTGTCAGACCTTGTCTTTGAAAATCCCGCACATCACTCGCACGTGTCGCGCACAGAGAAGACACAATGTGGTACCATTTTTAGCTACATGTAACAGTTCAACTTAAAACGTCTAGGTACATGACGAAGCGACTTACCGATTTATGGTACTTATTTGACATAGAGCGCACCATGAAATAGCCGTTGAAAACTTGAAACAATGGTGGGTGCATTATCGGCACCGTGCACGTTTCGTTGCGCTGCGTTTTATGTTTTGTGTATAACAGGAAAAGCCAGTCCAAGTAAAGGCAGATATGATACACAGAAAAAGTCAACCCCCTTCAGAAGGTTAACTTAACTTCAATTCAAGACCTGTTCCAAAAAGGCTAGAATTAGTGAAAGTGAAGAATTTCCAACCAGTGAAAATTGCACAGCATTTCCAGTAGGCGGTTGTAGGATTCGCTATTTTTTTATGCTGTGACACAAAAACAGAGTTGGTTTTTTTTGGGAGGGGGCAAGGATTAGTAGTCTGAGAATGCTGAACATTGTCGTTCCATTCATGTACGTGTAGTCGAACACTAGCGTGCTTTATTTTAAAGGTAGTGTTTGTATGATCCAAGTTGTAATTACCTGGCCTATAAACTCCAGCAACAAGGAAGATTCTTTACAGAAATAAGCTAATCAGTTAAAGCTAGGTCTGTCGTTGGAAAACTTTTACATACCACTTCTGAAAAAAAAATTTTTTTTTCATTATTGCCATATATTAAGCTTTTAAAGTTACTCAACATATATGACTAAACACTGGGCAGAAAGTAACTTAAAATGGGACTGAAAATGGGCTCTTACGCCACTGTTGCTTGCTCCTGTTGTCTAAACTTCTTTTTTTATATCTGAACACAATCCCTACATTTCAAAACCCGTGGTGACATTGTCACGTCGCCACCTTTTTTCAACCATTATTTTGCTATATAGTGTAGAAGCAGGACAAAAGCCGCTTGCTCCGTACCCTCAACCTCAAAAACAAACTTAATTTATTTTCAAATTTTTTTTGTCCACCTAACAGCCAGGGGTAAAATAGTTAAATCCTGTCCCGGGGTGCAACCTTCAAATTATCGCTTTCAGAACGTAGAATAGAAAGAGCCCTTAATCCTACTCCCGGGAGATTTCCGCTACGCTACTACACATTGAAAGATGTGATCTAAACTCTTCCAGGTGGGCCCCATAACAGTTTGCTGAATAATGAAATATGAATACATAATCCAAAAAGCATTAACAATTTTGAACTTACGTTGTGCCGCAGCAAGCTCAATGCTGAGAACAAAAATCGCAGTCCACACTGCTGCTTTGGTCGTCATGGTGCAAGACCCCGTGCGCTGTGGGCTCGAGCTATCTACTGACGATAGTAAGCCCCCAAACGCGTGACACCCACCAAGAGACTTTTTCTAGGTATAAAGCAGACGATTCAACACCGAGCAAAACGATCCCCTTGAAGTGAGAGCTGAGCTGGTAGTAACCAGTCTCCTACAGTTTCCTGAGTGCCGACTCTCCCCCGAAAATAGGTTCACTGGAGGCGTTGCTCCGTAAAGAAATTCAAAGTCGATCGAGCAACAAAGCCCACCCCCGGACTGGTGTCTCGTCGCGGTTACACATGCATTGTCATCTCAGTCCAAAAACAGGCATGGGAACTGATCTGCAAAAATAACATCTTGGCACCTCTTGTGCTGTGAATCAGCATTATGAAAACAATACCAACAATATTGCCATGGAGATTTGGCCATGACACTAGAAAACTGGAATGCTCGTCCCACTCGATACCAGGACATAACTATGAGATCAAGAAAGAATGTAAAAACGTAAAGGTAAAGAAATGTGGGCTTGGTTTATCCAAACATGATGCAACTATCTCTATAAAAGCACTATTTTTGTGTGTTACATTGCTTTTCATACAGTCGAGAACAGAACTTTAAAGACGAATGAATCTTGAAAAAAGCAATGTTTCATATGTTATATAATTCCATTTCCTTTCATATATATTTGAAGATAGAACTTTAAAGTTGAAAAGTTAAAAGGCCTAATTGAAATCTCTTAGGAGAGAATTGGGGACTGTCATTCCCATTTCGTTATGTAACAAATTTGTAGGATGTCATTAATTGTTCTTGTTGACAATAAAATCGGTGATCCTTTTATTAATAAAGCACTGAATAAATACACATGATCATGCGCGGAAAAGAAAAGCTAAACATTTTGAAAGTAAAAAGGGTACATTATTCAGAGAATAAGATTAAATTTTATAACAAATCGTTCCACTAAATAATGAATAAATGAAGCTGTCTGTTGGCGATTGAGACCTAGATAGTTCCCTGGGAAGTGCACAGAAAAAGCTAAAAAGACATACATTGAAAATTGGTTTATTTTACTCATTAACAAAACTATAAACTGGTTTGTCAAAACAAAGTTTTTAATCTGAGTGATGAACATGTTCTAAAATCGCATGATAACAATGTTTAATACATATGGGTCTGTCAGGCTCATTTCGAGCGGACCCCAAAATGGAGTTTACAATGGTCTGCTTCACTGAATTAGCAATCATAATAGATACAAGACTCCGAGGCATCCCGGACGATCCTGTAGTAAGTACACGGCCAGTCACGCATGCCGATCGAGCTTTGATGTCGTGAAATCGCTTGTGATTACATTATGTGGTGCTGTACCCTGGAGTGTGGCAATGCTAGATTCAACAGCCATCATTCCCACGGCAGCGATACTCATTACATGAGATGTTTACGCCTGGGTAAATAAAATGGTAATAATAACCAAAAGCAGCTGAAAATTCGAACATAACATACATGGGATCACGATAGCTGAAAACGAGTTTACCTGAACTTGGGTTCAAATTCAGGCATATCGAAGAGAGCGGTAGGCCTACTCGTATTCGTTCCTACATATATTATTGCGGAAACGTGGAAACGCAGATTGTCACTTTAAGCTCCTGTATGACGTGACTGAGCACGTATAGTCGTGATTTGCAAGAAATCTCTCTCTCGTTTTCACCAAAAAAAGCATCTCATTGGTCGAGTTTAAACTGCAAGGTATAGTGGCCGTGACGGAACATAAACAGTCGTGACATTGTATTGGCAACACATTTTTCCCCAAAGCGTGTTGTGATTCAGGGGCGGATCCAGGAATTTCTCAAGGGGGAGGGGGCAGGCCATTCAGATTTTTTCATGCCCGATTGTTGCAGACTGGTGGGGGCACATAACACATTACATTGTTACTGATGAACAAATAGTAACCCTTACAGGATGTCATTTTAAAATCCTTATTGTTATCTCATTTTTCCCCATTTTAATTAGCTCATTGAGATGGTTCATGGCAGTTCACCGCGCACATACCTCACATAAGCCATATATAGTGTTAAATTAACATTAGTTAAACGAACTCAATGTGCATAACAGACAAGACCGGGGTTGTGTTGTTCATTTTGGATACAGAGGGTATTTAATTCACATCACAGATTCCTGAGTTTTCGGTGATTTTAGGTTTGATTTATGAGAAGGGTCGGTACGGGGACTGTTTGGAAGTCCAGTATTATTTTCGTTAATACTGACTCGTAATCCGTTATCACAATCCTTTATTACGGATTCGGAATACGTTACGGGACTGCCTTGCGCATAGAAAATGTTATTATGCACTTGGCCTGGCCGCCAATGTACACACGTCGATGTACACAAGTAATATACCAACGACTTCAGATTGTGATTGTGAATCCGTAATGACGGATTGCGAATTCGGAATAACACATTTTTGCTTGGCGCTTATGGGCTTTCGTACGGCGCTAATGGGCTTTCTTACTTTCATACCTATCCAATGTTGGTTTGTTTTTTTGTTTTAGTTTTTGTTTCCACATCTACCTGACGGGCAGTTACAAACAAAATTGGTGGTTTAAAGTACATTGTAGGCCTATATGGTGGGCCACAAAAGCTGTGGACTCTGATCCTTGCCCACGGATTGGCGTGGCCGCTAGTCACTTCCCGAAGGACTGGGCGGGGAAATTTTGTTTCTTGGAGCTCGTTCATAGCTTTGACGACTGATGGACGACAGTGGCAGCCAGTGTTTCCGTTCCCCACTGAGTGATGTCACCCGCAAATCCAGAAAGACTTGGGACAAGGACTCACCGAGGATTCTGTTGAATTGGGGCGAGAAGTCCTCGTATGCAGAGGGAGGTGATAGCATGTCTCCTCTGTACTGCGCGATCCAAAGTGACAAAAGAGTCCAATGATAACAAGTTCAAGGAGAAGCGAGTGTGTGTGCCCACGCGCAGCTTTGTTCTTGATGCCCAGACCTGCTGTGAGCGTCCGGTGCACGGTGTTGTTATCGCACTTACAGCTGCGTTATTTCAATGTCATCATTGTCTTTGGGGAAAACATTTCTCACGCTCTCACTCAGACCCCATCAGGACAGGGGGCAAACGGTGGTGTAGAAAAGATGGGTAAAAAAGAACAGAAACTGTACCAGTCTTTGAATATACTAACAAAAAAATGAGAAATGTGGAAGAGAGGACGACGTAGCGGTGTAAATCCCGGTAGACTGGTTCCCGTCCCGTATGTTGTCACCAGACGCCTTACACACGTCCTCCGAACGTAGGGACTGGAAGTAGTGGAATTACCGACAGAATCGTGCCAAGAGTATGTAAATAAGGAAACGATGCCCGCTTTATGTACAAATTAAACAGAAGGTGAAAGCATGGTTGCTTTTACTGAAAATAACTTCACCATAAATGGTTCATTTATCTAATATTTAACACAATAACCACTGATTTGAAATAAATTGCCGTAAAATGATGTATCAATGATAGTCATTGAAAAATAAATTACCACACGGTGATCAACAGAGGCCTAGCAAGGATAACTATTTGTGTTTTATTTAGCTCCCCGCTGAAACGTGTTTCATGTTAAGGCATTGCCATGGGCCTGACAAAAACTTAAATATTCAGCATCCAAACTGACAGGGCTAATCGCAGCTAGCTACCGGTCCCTACATATAATAGGGACGGGAACCAGTCCAAAATTCTGGGGGACTGGGGAATCTGAACTGTGCATGGACAGAAGAGGGCGTGCCAACATGGTATAGACGTCTCTTAGATAAGAATTCAACTCACCGCATACCCGCAAGTATATTTACGCCACTGGAGGAAAAAAAAACAGCTCAAGGCATATCACCGTCCTAACCAACACCCCCGTCAGAATTGTTGACATGACGAAGAAAAAAAGGGAAATTCATGGGTAGGCGTATTTATAAAGGGCAAGAAATAAAAAGGTCTTATTAATACTTGCGCTAGGCTTTTTTTCTAACTGAAATCACCCCAACAAACACTCATGTCAGAATTTTACCTATGTCCTCCTCGCATGAGTAAAAGTCACCTGGAGATGGGTAAAAAACGAATTTCATTAACGACCTTTTACTTCCAGCAGTATCGTTCCTATAGGTCACCTTGTTCTTGCAAATTTTCCCCGTTCTTACTTGAAAACGAGATTGTACATCGTTGCAAAGATTTACCTAACTGCAGACACCTGAGTACTCCCCCGAAGTACACAAACGGCAGGATTACGCCGCGCTGATCAGCGAGAGTATACTCCCCGTCATGCAGGAGTATAGTCCCGAGAGTAATGCGCGCGCATCCTCCCTTGTGTTGACAGGAGTAACTGCGCGAACGCACCCAAATATTTGCGGCGAGTGCACGCTCCAGCCAGAAAAGTTGACGCCTGCGCTTCCGGAAGCCTTGGCACAGCTGTGTTTCGAAAGTTGCGACATGTGCATCACAAAATGTTGGAAACAGATGCAGGTGTATGCGCCAGTGCACACTCGCACATTCTACCGTGAGCTTAATGAACAGCCATTTCATACCTGAAGCTGTATTCTGAAACTGTGGCCTGTTACTCCCAGGCTCTACAGAGCCTGAAAGTTGACTCCTGGTGGCGTGCTTCTGCAACAGTTTAAGAATTTGTTATTTTTCCCCCTCGTTTACTTCTTAACAAATCACCTCGGAAAACAGCCTTTGTAAAAATACTTGCTAGCATATTAAGTTTTAAAAACTGAAAAATTACCAGACCTGAGAGAGAAAAATCCTGCCAAAATCTGACCTCTCATCTAAAATACATAAAGATCAGTGCCATTCGTGGGTCTCGTACGCATAATGTGAACTGTTACGAAACTACATTGATGGTAGTCTGTTGGTAAAAGCTGAACTAAAAACTGACCTAAATATTTGAAGGACTTTCCAATTTACGAGGAAATAAACTTAAAGGAATAATCTGCGTTTATGAAAGATTCTAAAGTGTAATCTACCGTTGCTGACAAGAACGATGTCACGTCAACTCGACTGAATCAAGAACCTATATCGACTGCATGTGGGTATTTCTTTGCAACGTAAATGTACAATTTCGTTTTCACACGCTCATGAAGTGAAAATAAGCTTGCAAGAACGAGGAGACCTAGGAACGATATTGTCGGAAGTGAAAGGTCGTCAATGAATTTCGGTTTTTACCCATCTCCAGATGACTTTTCCCAAATATTACTTGAGGAACACAAAGGCAAAATTCCTACATCAGTGTTCCTAGAGGACCACGCGAAGGTTCCGGAAGTTCGCTGTATGACCTTTTTTTACTTTCAGGCTCCATTGGAAAATGTGTGCCACGATGATCAAGCCGCACTGACCGAAAGGTCGAGGTATCATCGATGGTTCTCTTAAAACCACAGTCAAATGAGTCATTTTGGAAGCGCACGCAATTATTTTGCTTTTTTGTTCTCGAGCACGACTTATACAAAGCCTCGAATTGCACACAAATTGAACAATTTTTTAGACTGACGAACAAGGAGAATAACAACTTGGTCTGAAAATTCGCCGCAGTCACATTCAAATGAAGCATGCGTAGTGGTTTAAGACGCAATTGAGTGGTGGGAAGCAGCTGTTTAACTTATAACATAACTGTCATCATGATCCCAAAAACTATGAGCCATAATGGTTCATAGGATGAAAAGACTGTCCTGGAAGCGACGTGAACTTGTTTAATTCGCGGTTCACGTGGTTCCAAAGGAAGTTAATGACAATCATAACTCATCAATCTTCCGAGATATTATGAAAATGTCTGTCTAATGATGACCTAATGGTAGGCGCCGGCCACATGGCTGCGTTTTCGTGTAATTACTTTTCTGAATCACACAGTGGTACAATAGAAAATGTACACATGTACATTCATCCATTGAGCGGTTCTATTTTTAATTCAGTATTTTAATGGAATATGTTTCAGTCTGCTACACACCAACGTATATGGAATAATTCGGTCTATTCACATTCGGCACCGGGATGTCTGGGAAGGAGGACAATTATTGTAATCATTTTCGTAACATTGCTTTAGAGGACCATAATGTTAGTAAGGAGAACTGATCTCTACAGAAAGCGGGGACAGCGGATACCTATACACCAGCCACGCATTTGAAGTTGTATTTTGACCAGTTCGCTCCTGACCACTCCAAGATAGCCGATATTCAGTACAGCTTCATGTGGTCTTTTGGCAGTTATTTCCTTTTTTCCCCTGACAATAGTTTTTTTATTTAGTTATTTAAATTACAAACAGAAATCTGTTAACCTGGGCAACGTTTTTCAAAATTCCCTTTTCGGTGACACAGATCACACACAATGAATCCACTAGGAAGCCCATTGGCATGTGACGACCACATACACAAAGTGCATGAATTAATTAAAAGTGCCGCAGATCAGGTTCTCCACATTGATTTTAAAGTGGATTCAATATATGGTTCTTTCGTATCCAGGCTCTATATAGACAAATCTTTGGCAAGGAGCTAATGAGTGTGTCCAGTTCATAAGTGACCTCGTCATATACACGCAAGCACCACTGATTACAAGCTCCCATTGGATGAACACCAAAGTTACGCGTTAACTTCCGGTTCCATGGTTCCACGTAATGTGCAGCGGGCATGGTTTAAACTGAACTGAACCACACTCACCTACCACAGTCTAAGACGAATTGACGCCCATTGATCTTCATTTTAAATTATGATCAGCGGAGACATCCATAGAAATCATGATATCTATGGGTGACACCGCAAGCAAGCGCGCATCCTTAGTAAACTCAAGAAAGGATGCACCAACCATACCCTGGCAAATCACAACAGCCCAAGAATGCAAGGCGCGCGAACCATCACTTGCATGTACTATGTGAGCGTGGTGCCACTGCAATAATACCAATACTGAATGTTTTAAATTTGTGCAATGGTACAAGAATTTTAACGAGGTGACAGATAAAATGTTCCATTCCACGACGCTTGAGGCTTCGCCTCGTGGAATGGAACTCGTGGAATCGAACATTTCATCTGTCAACTCATGAAATTATCATTATCACTGCACTCACAGACATTCATTATTTAGATAACAATTTGCTAAAATCAACGTCCTTTCCACAGACTACCAGTTACCTGATACGCCTTTATTGTTATTACATGTGGTGATGCGCATACGTAGGCAAAGTATTGTGCAGCTGAAATGCGCCCCAGTTTAACATAAATATGATTCATTAAGGTCAGGTTTAAAAAAAGAACGGGTTCTAACGAGTTTCGAAGTATAAAAGCTGGTCTTTGTAGGGATGAAAACGAGGAAGTTCATTATTTTCGTGTCAATCTGTATTAAAAGGAATTTTAGTGCTCTCGATATAGCCCTATAGCCTTGCCCCCCTTTCCCCGATGCGCAAGGTTTACGAGATGTTAACAACATTCCCCTTTCGTGCGTAGTACCTCATAAGGGGCTCCTTATTGAGGAACCAAAAAAGTCCTGACGCCACTTGTGACAAAGAACCAAAGGTTGCAGCTGCTTGTGACGCGACGTAAACAGTTACCGGCAACGCACGCTGCCTTTTTTAGGGATGAAGATATTTTCCGTATTTAAATAACCCTCTGTATTTACGAGCAAGTTGGTCAAAAACCTTGAAATTTACGACAATAATCTACCGGCACGTTAAGCACTTTGAAGGTTGGTAGCTTATTACATTTGCCATGCATAATCTCACAATAATGGTGAAGGGGTCAGAGTGTAAATATGGTGGCACTCCAGCTATGCAAATTTCCAGTACCAGTTTGCCTGTCCCAAGGACATAGGGGTAGCAAATTCTCTTAACTGATACTTTTATGGTGATATACTGTATAAAGGATAAGCCAGCTGTTTACTATGAAAACAGGTTGAATAAATCAACCGTTGTATTGTTGTACGTGGGTTGATGAAAACAAGGTTGAAAGCCCATTCAAACGTATGATTCAGCCCACATGGCGTGGAATTTAGAACGCGACGGTTGAGACATATACTATGCATGTTTTGAGTTCATGAGATTTACGTCATTAACCTCTATGTCTGTTTCCATTTGTTGTTTTAATCGTGTACACTATTTGACTGTAAATCATTTGAAAGTGCACCTGTACGTATTCAACAACAAATTTCAAGAATAATTCAGCCGTAAGCGCGCAGCAAAGAAACGGGAATAGAGCCGTTAACTAGGGCAGACGGTTTGTCGATAAAATGCGCCATCAAGAGTTTGCCTCCAAAATCCGTGCTCTCCTTGCGTGGATACATGTACATGTACAACCATCTAGTCCTGCCGCTATTGCTATTTAGAACTGGAAAATTCAAAATTCGGTGGAGGAAAAAAACGATTAGTTTCCTGTCCTTTTCAGAAGGGATGGGGATAATCAGGATAATGCTCGCAAAATTTGAAGATTGTAAAAGATGACAGAATTTCACCCTCCATCTTGAGAAGATAGCTCGTCAGACGGACGAGAGAGAGCGTGCTAGTTTTTATCAAACACGACAACCAGTGAAATACCCTGTAATTTATGATCCTTGTAAACCTGCTTAAGCCTCTTGACAATCGAATTGTCCAGATGGACACTGCAAGTCTCGAAGGGAATGGGATGGGAAGGGGATGGGAAACGAAACGGCGGCCACTGTGTCCACTTTTCCCCTTCATTATCAGGAGCCCGTCGTTCTTAGCTGTAAGCATGACTTCTGAGCTGACCACCAAAAAAGACCATTCCTCCACGGGGCTAGAGCACCAAGGGGACCCATTGTTTCGTAAGTTCTATACGACTCCAGGGCACGTGTTTTTTTTATTGATTTCGCATCGATTTTTGAACAGTCCCAACGTTGGCGTGCATCATTGTACAATATGTTGGTGACAGCCCTCAATGCAACACAGTTGTACGAACAAAATAAACTGCCGTTTTATACATTTCCTGTGCATCGACAAATGGACAAAGGCTACCGTTGACAAACCCATTGCTTTTATTGACAAGGTGTTCACCAACAATGCTTCTGTTTGGCCTGAGAGATTGGCGCTTGTGGCAATAGACGGAAAATCTGATCCTTAACTTTCTGGACTATTGACATCTGCATGGCACCAGCAAATGTACGAAAACTGGCCCAGGAGGCCTGCGACTCTCATACTCTGGAAAGACTGAATTGACAGCTTCTCTTTGTTACCTGGCAACGACTTCCCAAACTGCATGTGCAAGGCGCGGAGAACGTGCGGCTACTTTTGAGACAGCGGCGTCATACTCAGCGGCGGATGGGGGGGTTCAAACATCCGCTCTGAAGCAAAAAAGGGTTTTTTTAAATGGGAAAAATAATAAAACATTACAAAAGTGTATACAGGTAATTGCAACAGTATCATTGTAAACAGTGTATGTCATGTTATGTTTCATCATCGTTTCCTCTTGTCTGCAAAAATGAGACGTTAACACAAATCTCCGGCCCGACCCCCACTGGAAGAATTCCTGGATCCACCCTGCATAACAAACGGTTTAATTTAGGGAATTAATTTTTGTGTATGAAAAAGAAAAAAATCATGGTTCCTAAGGCACTGCCCTACCAAAACTAGTGCACCATGACCCAGCTTCACAAAGACCCGTCAAACTAAAGGGCCAAGGGACACCCTCGAATACAGCTTTTGACTTTATCATCAATGAAAATTAATGGGTTTCTTTTGGGATATCCTTGGGTGTAGAAACAGCAACAAGCTTGAAAAAAAAACTTTCGAGGCCTCTTCCTATTTGGAAACTGAAATGGCATGAAATAGCCTACAGGGTTTACCGCAGGAGTTTTCTAGTCATGAACTTGGCTGTGTTTTTCTGCGCGCGAAGCCTAACTGTCCAGCTCGACTGATTTTGTGATAAATGTGCCAACACAATGATTTCAGTTTCGAGGAATGGAAAATGGTGGATTTTATAAAACGCACGTTAGCACCATTCCTCGTATTGCATCTTCGTGCCTTCGAATCACATTGGCGGTTTAGCAAATACACATTGGCACTCTAATTGGATTGCATATTATGGCCTGAGTGATACACCACTACAGATAAGTGTTTGGCTATTACGGAGAACGTTTGCCGGCATATCCGTTTATCGATGTAGCGATGCGCGCCGTCCTGTCCTGATGAGGAGGCCTGACCGAAAAGGAATTCCTGACTACATATACGATATCCGACTCGTAAGCCACGTGTCACTGCTCGTTGCAGCTAATTAGAACAGACGCTATTTGAGAAACAATTATAAACAGCCGGTTAGTAAGCGATACTGTTTGCCCTGGAAGATGTTTTTCTACCGCTGTAGATTCTCAAGGCTACGAAGGACGGATTCCATCCACGATGTCCCTTAATTACGATGCGCTGCAAGCACGCAGTAAAATGGCCTCATCATTCTTGCATTTCGTCCAGGCTACCACTACCACTGAAAAATCCTTCTCTAAATATTTTTGAGGTTTGGAATTGTCCTTGATATCCATGACCACAATATGGTTAAGTTGGGTGTTTCTTTATGCAGAAACGCTGTTGCGAGCAATTTTTTGCCTACACTAGTAAACGGCTACTGAATGCAGCCCGAAAAGGGCGCAAACTGGAATCATGCCACGAACGTTCGATTCGGAGACAAGCAGACAGCCTTTAGTAAACCGAAAGTGTGTGGCTGTGGATAATCTCAAACGATTGGCTGACTGTCTTTTAATTGGGGGCTTTGCGTATTAGTATTCCATTCAATGTGAGCTGAGAGAGGGAGAGAGCGCGCGTTTGCATCCATATAGTCACCGCCTTCCGTGCCAAGACAACAATCTCGAGTATGTTTGGCGAGAGCGTCGAATTTCCGACGATGCTCGAGGGGCACTCGAAGACGAAGCTGTCCCCCAGCGTGTGCTGGCCCCATTGAGAACTCCTCCGGAGAACAAAAATTCAGGTCCCTCCTCGTCCACCATCCTATATGCACTCCCCTGGAGCACTGTGGACTTTTCACCGGATGGCAGCTCCCCGACTAATGGATCCATACTGTCGATCAGGGGATTAGTTACACCGGCAATCGATTTTCCTATAGTCACGGAACAAGACAGGCGGAGATGGTACATAAGCCTTGTCGTACTGGTACACAGTCCACAGGATTTCTTTCGGGATGGGAGAACTCGCAGGTCGGCTCCAGAGACAAATTGAAGTTGTGTACAGTGTCTATTGTCTGTAGACCAAAATACACACTCTCCAACGAATTACTTTACATGCGGATGGCTCTGGGCATAAGGGAGACAAGAATGTTGCCAGTGGTGAGTGAAAAATAACTAGCAGGCCCTCTGAAGAGTTGAGCACGCGATACACCTGGGGTAGACAGAAAAGTCTTCATTGCACCACGGGGATGTCATCTGACGTGATGGAACGCGGCAGTGCTGCCCATGCGGCCGACAGTCAAGTCACTCGTGGTAACAAAATAATCTTCCCTTCGGAAACCACGTTTCAGAGACTTCGGCAAACCCCGGTACTGAATGCAGGTTATAAGTAGGCGTCTATCGTCATAATTTACCCGTGCGTTATTATCATTTTTCTGCGTGATCTGTAACGCCAGTGAACAAGAGTACATGTACCTGCATTTTTCTGTATTCCTTCCCATCGACGTCAAATGTCTCCAATAAATAGGCCATGTCAGTAGTGCAGAGGCTAGTTTATCGCCAGTGTTGGGATTCCACCATCCACGGATGTAAAACCCGGTTAATCATCTTCTGTCGCGACAGCCCCCTCTGCAGAAAATATCTGCAAGGGCAGAGTCACCTCTGACAGAATAACAGCTGTGTGTTGGGGGGGTGCGTTCCCCCCGCCTATTACCTGAACCGCCGCCACAAAGCAAAAGCAGCTGAGAGAGAGGAAAAAATGCCAAACACGCCACAGCATGACGGCTGGCTTTTCTGTACTGTCCAAACAGGAACGTCACTTAAGAGCCTAGCCTTCCCATGATTTAGGCATCTGATGCTCCCTGGTGGAGGAGGAAACCCACAGCATTGGGTTGCAGGTTTAATCGAGAGAATCCACCAGGTGCTGACTGATATATTCTCAGGATAATCTCAGTCCTGCCCACGGAGCCATCGGCCCAATTAGCAAAAAACCAGTGGCCGATGATCTACTCGAGAGATTGCAGGATGAAATATCCCCGGCCCCAGTACTAGTTTCCTGTTGCCGACCCTCCGAGATACACTAATGTAGCCAACTCTGGCTAAAACTATATCCATTTAATTGGACGAGCGGCATTCATGTCGTGCGAGTAAACTCCCGCGGTTGATCCAGCGACGTTTATACTTTGATGACCGGTCGATGAATGAGGAATACACGCTCCATAGTGAGACGATGTTCTTCTCTGTCTCTCTCTTGGATCGCATCAATTCCTTCCTCTCATTTCCTCCCCTCTAATGACATCACACCATCAACGGAGCACTCATCGCATTGACTGCTTTTCCATACGGGACTGGAACATGCTGTAAGTCCAGCGACAGGATCCAGCCCAAGCAGTCACACTTGTGTCAGTCATGGATCGCCGAACGGGACTAAACGCAGGATTAATACTGCCGTTTCTCCCGGAATGCCCCCACTGAGCGATATTGCAGTATCGTCCGCAACCCGCAATGACTGGACCGCGGCAGGAGAGCCGCCGCCTAGGCAGGACTCGATCCGCGCCATTCTCGCAGATGTCTGGTCTAGAGATAGAGAAAGGCCTGAGATGCTGTAATGCCATCATTAGAATTGTTCTTGGTAAGTAGGCCCTAAAGGTAGTCTTTTTCAGGGGCAACCCCACCCACTGATGTACAGTTCCGCCACACCTGGCAACATTGGTGCGTTTTTGCACCAAACACATATAGATCCGTTGTTGTGCGGTGGTAACAAGTCCCACCAAAGTCTTATTTGTGATGAATGAGCATAAACTTGTGTGAATAATTATTGCCTTTAGCCTTTTTGCAAAACACATTCTTATCAGTAAAGAACGATCAAGTTGAATAGGATAATTTTAGGACGGGCGGGTACTGTTCTCGCAGATTCGTGTTCCTTGCTAGCAAAAAGATAATATTATATCTTTCGACAGCTGATTTTCCACGTCCTTTCGCGAGAACAGCAACATGTTCAGGTGTGGTGCATTAACGTTGGGCTTGATAATTATGTAATAACTCAGTAAGTAGAGCACCGGTACAGTGTTCCGGACATCGCAGGTTCAAATCCTGTTGCAGTCTATTCTTTGTTCATCTTTATATCTAATATATAAGCACCGAGTCAGTTTCCCTATGTGGTATGCTTGATGACTTATTTAAAGGTAGCTGTTATATTGTCAATTAACACTGTGAGATTGGGCACCTGTAATATATGTGATAGAAAAAGCTTGTAAAAATCTTACCGCTATACAAGAATGCCTGCTTTCGCGTTGACCTTTCCAAGAAACAAAATTGAAATGAACTTTGAGTGGTATGCGTTTAATAGCCTTTAATGAAACGCGAATTAAGGCTCAGATAAATAAATATCATTGACAACGCGGCAATGATTAAAAAAAATGAAATAATTACTATTTGCTCTGTTGGACGACAGGTGACCTCGGTGAAAATATTTGATGAATATTGGTGTTTATTTTTCAAGCGTTGCTTTAAAGAGGCTAGCGGAATGCAAATTAATCACTCGCATATTGCGGAACTCGCGCGGAGAGGAAAGGCTTGTACTGGTACCAGTGTATACCGCGACGGTCTTTGCATAATACTGTGTACGTGGGTATTCATTTCCCGCAGACTCTGGGGACAAAGTTGACATATGGATTCATGTTACCCTCAACCTTTACCTTAAAGGTTTAAAATTTTAATATTTTGTTTGGTGTTGTGCTTTTTTGTAAAATGATGAGGCGAGGAAGTGTAGTTTTAATAGGGTTTCAATACAAGGTTTTCTCCCCCGAAAGTCCAAAGTATTCACTCATTTGTTTTCATAGTATTTTATCAAAATATTTTATTGCATAATTAACTCAACCATAGAAATCATTTGCTATAACTGCGAATTAACAGGATAAAACCGATATACCGCCTGCACTTGCAGCCATACCGGTACGTGGGATTTGTATGGTCATGCATAATGCATTAATTACTTTGATTTTATACATCTCTTTCCGCTGACGGCGGTATATGTGGAGTGAAGCTTTGCAAAGTAATTACTCATGAAGCCCTCCTGTCCTTCAGTGGAAAGCTATCGGGTTTGACTAAAAAGTTTAATCGATTAGATTTAATGCGGTGAAGGGTGTCCATGAAGAGACATTAATAATGTCTGACGGCACTTTGCCTGTAGAAGAGTAGAAGTTGTATATTGTGGAAATTCAAAAACAGCAGTCGTGACAACTCATTTGCCCGTTAGGGTTCGGTGCTCCAGCCGTGAGCAATACAGTTGAATATACTGGGCCTTCTTTCGGTCTTTCAAATGGTCGTCCTCGTCCCCCACCGCCCTGAGGACCCTGGGAGGGGAGATTCACTTCATCAAATTTTGTGAAGGAAATAGGTCACAGCTATGGACGTTCAAAGCATCGTGGGTGGAAGTGTTGACCATGGAAAGTTGTTCATAATTATGAGCTCTATCCAATGAGTGCTCGACAAAGATGTACGAACTCACCCCTTCCCAGGGCGCCAGGGACAAGCGAAGCTAGTAACGGTATTTTTCTATGGTGTTACAACATAGCCATCCAGTAATAATTGCCAGTCATGAGTACTATTATCTTGGACTTTGTTTTGCACATGCGGACACTAGGTATTGATCAGTGTGTTAATTGTCTACCGTTACGCAGTCAATATTATTAAAACATCTTCGCTTGCGCACGCGCATACGTTGACGGTGCGCGCATGCCAAGTCAGCATGAGAAGTTAAAAATTCCGTTTTCCAATACTCAACTTCGTCTCCGTCTGAGGCTTCATTCGTTTTTTCTACCACCTGACTTTGAAATTGTTAGCGGAATAGTAAGTCTGTTAGTGCCATAGAAACATCGAAGATGTAAAAGAGCAAAATATTACTGTGTACTTCAATTCACTTTGAAGCTTCGGGCCTTCCATCGGGGATTGATTTCGGAGGCCAAGCCTGAGACGCAGACGAAGTTGAGTATTGCAAAGTGGCTAAAGTAAAAGACAGATTTGATACACAGTATGTTAAAACGCACATGAAAGAAGCACTGCATCAGCAAATGGTTGGAAAAAGCCACTGCCTACGGTACCTGGGCACAACACATGTACTTCCGCGATGGAAAGGAGCGGGGTGGAACAAAACGGGAGTCCTTGCTCCCAGGTTCTCCCTCTTAATCTTGAAATTTTGAAGCAAGCATGCATAATCTATGTACAAGCATTGGCTTTCACGCCGGGTGCCCCGCTGAAAAAAGGTACTAGGTAGGTACCCTGATGCCCCCTAAGAATTGTCACTCCAGTTACGTCACTGCGTATAGGAGACTTCCTGTCGTAAAGTTAAAACTTTGTCGGGTTCCCTAAGGGACCTTTCAACATTTTCGATGTTTTTGATTTCTTTTTTTGGCGAAATAGTGGGTGGGTGGGTCAAGGTAAATTTTTGAAAATCAAAATCAACTGTTCATCAAATGAGGAAAGAAATCGGATTTTTTATTTGCTGGTTTTTCACTTGGGTCAAAACAGTTTCGAAAAAATCAAAAGTTAAAAACCTCGAAAATTTTAAATGGCCCATAACCTATGTCTCCCGAACCTCGGTCTGAAATTAAGATACGGGCTTTGTGATTGGAGGAACCGGCTGCCAGACATTTCATTTACTTGCCTGGGGCGCTGAGCCTGAAGCCAACGCGGAGGCTAAATGTTTGGATTTGTGAAATGTGGGAGGTCAGTTTAAATATCAAATCGCAGCTACAGTTGGTAACGCGGGTCAAAACCCTGAGAGATAATTGCTCAGCACCGAGAAGGGGTTTCTTCGGCCAAAATCTGTAGATCTTATGTCCATGATCCTACGTACATTGTTTTGAACCTAGTCTGATCATTACTGATCTTGGCATGATGAGTCGATGCTTCCAAATACTTTGATGAGCAGTGTGACCATACGGGATTGCTTGACGCTGGTACAGGACCTTCATCAAGGCTTGCTTCACGGACCCCGATGGAGTTTAACACTGGGAGATTGGCTTTCAAATCGATTGAGGAACTATCCTGTGTCAATAATTGTTTGAAATGGATCTGCTGCGGTTTATGTTGGTCGCGTCAACCGATGTTTTGCTTATGTCTGTCCGTCGTTGCTGGTATTACATCAGTGTTGATTGATGCTAACTATACCAGTTGTGGTTCTCAGCTGAATGGTTTGCATTCAAATCAAACCTTCTTCGCTATTTGATGTTAGTAATTCGATTTTCAGAGGCTTTGGGACAAAGGGAATTCCTTTGACTATGATTTTTGACCACGATAACAACCCTGCCCCTTTTCGCGGTTTGGATTATATACATGCAGAAGAAGAGTCAATGTTGAGTACTTTAGCTCCCAGAAAAATGCGAAGCATTCCTGAAATGGCTCCTCTTAAACACGTGTACACGCTAAAAACCGAAGTGTTTAATTGAACACGTACAAAGACTGCAAATGCGATCAATTACCTCTTAAAGAGTACTGAATCCAGCTTAATGTAGCGTTAATCTAGTCCAACGGTTAAGTAGTAAATTCAACAATTTTATTGTTAATTCAACATATTTTCTTGCGATAATATTGTTGAATCGGCATCAACAAGTTAAATGCGGGCATTACCATTTAAATGCTGGTTTCAAAACTTCAGTTTTAGGCCTAATGCTGTATAAATCGCCATACCAAAGCCTTCAATTGGTTTGGTTTACCGAGGACAGGTCTCTGCTAGACGGCTGATTAAAATGTCACGGGGCAGTGTACACGATAAACATGATAATTACATGATACATACATGATACTTCAATGGACCGTTTGTGTACAAGTCCACCTGGCAGTCAGCCATGAAAGATGGCAGACAGATCAGCCAAGCAGACAGGCGGCATTTGATGACTATTCCGTGTGAGCCATGGACACAGCGTTACGTTGATTAGGAAGTACTCAATGAGCTTGGCATAGGGCTAGAGCGCTGACTCATGTACACAAGGATGCCGGCTGGGCGCATCCATATTTGTGCACAAACCTGTAATTTTGTACGGCTTTTGTTCGTCTATTTGAATACTTTATCTGTGTCTGTATTCAGAAATGATGCGTCAACAAAGCTAATACACTAAAAACCTAAACACACAATCAATAAATGAGCGTTTCATTTCACTATGCGCAAACAGCGCAAACGCGTGCGTTTATGCGCTGCAGATAAATTTGGTCGTGACGGTTTCTTTTTTAATCGGATTTCATCGATATCCGATGCCAGTTGCATTTAGAGTACATCATTCGATATTCACTCTGTCTGCTTTCGAATGTTCTACAAGCACATGGATTCAAAATGTCTGTGCCCACGACGGCGTCAAATTTTCTCCAAGCAGAGAATGAGAAGTCAGCGCTCCAGTTATTCAATATATCCCTATGGTGCTTGGCCAGTCTTCAACGTGCGTTGAAGAATGGACGTGACTATCACCGTTTATGTTCGCCCCTTCCATTTAGTTTGTGCGCATGCGCTAAAATTTGGCAAAGTCGTGTTCACTTTCTGTTGCTTGTTGAGTTGGCGACGCCAGTCAGCAAACGACTATACCAAAATCAATCTGCGGAGATCTTCCGCATTGTGTAAGCGTTTGCTGAGTTTATACC